TCTCTTAGAGAGTTAACTATCGCGTTCATTCCGTCTGTCACCTCGTTCCCAGAAAGCGCTCTTCCCGCGCTACACGTCGCTCGACAAGTTGCAAATATTCAACAGCTGTGACTCACTGACATCCTTCCCCTTGGGCTGTTTCCCCGTCCTCAAGAGCCTCTTCATTCTGGGCTGCAAGAACCTAAAATCCATTACCGTCACGCAACGCGCGTCACCGCAGTCTCTCTCGTGTCTTCAGAGTTTATCCGTATACGCGTGTCCGAACCTGGAGTCACTTCCTTTTCCATTGGCCCCTCCCAACCTAAACAACCTCCTCGTGTCGAGTTGCCGCAAACTGAAATCGCTACCTGTTGGTACCGGAAAATGAATTCGGAGGCATTCGAAATACAGAGGTGCTTTAAATCCTTGGCGATCGAAAAATGGCAAAGAAGTTTCTGAGGAAGGGCACGAAGACACTTTTCGTGAAACTCTCGAAATCATTGTATCAGGAAGGACACGAAGACACTTTTCGAGAAATTATCTTTCATTTCAAATTTTTTAGAGAGAAACTTCTTAGTCTCATTTAAAAGACCAAGATCGTTAGTTGCAAGCAAGATGTCATCAACATACAAAACTAGAAAAATGAACTTGCTACCAAGTCTTGAAATAAATTTACATAACCATTTAGCCTGAACCGTGGCCTTAAAGCATGCCACAAATTCAGCTTCCACAGTGGATGCAACAATGACCGATTGCTTCGCACCTTTCCATGAGATAGCTCCTCTAGCCAACATAAACAAATAACCGAATGTAGATTTTCTTGTATGTACACATCCGGCAAAGTCTAAATCTGAATATCCAGTCACCTCAAGATGTTCAGATCTCCTATAAGTAAGCATGTGTTCTTTTGTACCTTGCAAATATCTCATAACTTTCTTTGTAGTCTATACCAGGATTACTCTAGTATCTTCCCAACATCCCAACTACAAAGCTAATATCTGGTCTCGTACAAGTCTGGGCATACATTAAGCTCCCAACTATAGATGCATAAGAAATTTCTTCCATTTGTTTTCATTCCAAATCATTCTTTGGACATTGCATAAGACTAAATTTGTCTCCTTTCTGAATTGGAACAGGAGATGTCGAACATTTATCCATTCTAAATCTCTCTTAATTTTTTATTAATATATGTTTTCTAAGACAAGCCTGGTAATCTTTGTGACTTATCCTGAAATATTTCTATTCCAATCACATAACTTTCCTCACCCATATCTTTCATTTCAAATTTTTTAGAGAGAAACTTCTTAGTCTCATTTAAAAGACCAAGATCGTTAGTTGCAAGCAAGATGTCATCAACATACAAAACTAGAAAAATGAACTTGCTCACACCGACCTTCAGATATATACGCTGATCAACAATGTTTTCCTTAAAACCAAAGGACATAATGGAATCATTGAACTTGAGATACCACTGTTGGGAAACTTGCTTAAGTCTGTATATTGATTTCTTAAGTTTACACACCATGTGTTCTTTTCCTTTCTTTATGAATCCCATTAGTTGATCCATTTATACATCCTTTCATTTACCACACATATGAGACATTAATTTCTTAGATTCTCCCACTTGGCTCATGTGACAAAATACAACATCATAGTTTAATAAAATATCAATCATAATGCGCATTAACAAGAATAAATGTATCATACATTTATAATATCATAAGTCATAATTAAGAACAATAACTAATAAGAGTCATGGCGGTTGTACATCACTTATTTGACATAGTCCCTTCCATGTACTACTATATTAGTCTTCTTCCAAACATGACACTTTAATAGGAAGTACATAATTTGTATAACAATAATGTCAATTTCAAAGACATAAATTGTTTCCAATATTAACATTCATACACGTGCATGTAAGTTTGAAAACAGAAAATATTTAGAAACTTTTTTCATCAGTGAGCTCATAGTGTCAAACATACAAGACATTACAATAATATTCAACATTCGGTTGCTAACATAATGCTCATATTTACAACATGACTAGTAAATGTCTTGGGCAGTAACCCTTTAGTTAAAGGATCTGCAATCATAAGATTAATGTTAATGTGTTCTATTGACACTCTATATTTCTAAACCTCTTCTTTAACAGAAAAGTATTTTAATTCCATATGTTTAGCACCTTTAGAATACTTGTTGTTTCTAGAAAAGAAGACTGATGCGGAATTGTCACAATAAATTTTTAATGGCTTGGCAATACTGTCAACTACACCAAGTCTTGAAATAAATTTACATAACCATTTAGCCTGAACCGTGGCCTTAAAGCATGCCACAAATTCAGCTTCCACAGTGGATGCAACAATGACCGATTGCTTCGCACCTTTCCATGAGATAGCTCCTCTAGCCAACATAAACAAATAACCGAATGTAGATTTTCTTGTATGTACACATCCGGCAAAGTCTAAATCTGAATATCCAGTCACCTCAAGATGTTCAGATCTCCTATAAGTAAGCATGTGTTCTTTTGTACCTTGCAAATATCTCATAACTTTCTTTGTAGTCTATACCAGGATTACTCTAGTATCTTCCCAACATCCCAACTACAAAGCTAATATCTGGTCTCGTACAAGTCTGGGCATACATTAAGCTCCCAACTATAGATGCATAAGAAATTTCTTCCATTTGTTTTCATTCCAAATCATTCTTTGGACATTGCATAAGACTAAATTTGTCTCCTTTCTGAATTGGAACAGGAGATGTCGAACATTTATCCATTCTAAATCTCTCTTAATTTTTTATTAATATATGTTTTCTAAGACAAGCCTGGTAATCTTTGTGACTTATCCTGAAATATTTCTATTCCAATCACATAACTTTCCTCACCCATATCTTTCATTTCAAATTTTTTAGAGAGAAACTTCTTAGTCTCATTTAAAAGACCAAGATCGTTAGTTGCAAGCAAGATGTCATCAACATACAAAACTAGAAAAATGAACTTGCTCACACCGACCTTCAGATATATACGCTGATCAACAATGTTTTCCTTAAAACCAAAGGACATAATGGAATCATTGAACTTGAGATACCACTGTTGGGAAACTTGCTTAAGTCTGTATATTGATTTCTTAAGTTTACACACCATGTGTTCTTTTCCTTTCTTTATGAATCCCATTAGTTGATCCATTTATACATCTTCCTCTAAATCTCCATTTAGAAAGGTGGTTTTCACATGCAAATTTTGTCATAAGTCGAGGTATCATGACTGTAGCACCGAAATAAGTAACAAAAAACAAGTTCCAGTTAAGGCAATGTTCTATTTGCCTATAATTCCTCGACTACAGAGAATGTTTGCATCAATGCAAACAACAGGACATATGACTTGGCATCATGATAACAAAAAAAGTGCTGGAGTCTTAAGGCTTAAGTGCTGGAGTCTAAAGGCATCCAACCTAGATCAACAAAATGGGAAACAACATCAAAACCAACAACAAGATGACCAAGACAAAAATCAACAAGACTCTCCTAATTATGAAAATTATTAGTTAGCATTAGAAAAATATTAATTACCCTATTTGAATTAACTATATATGATGTTTGAATTATGAATTGTTTTATTATTATGATATAAACATTACTATTATCTTTTAAATTTATTTTGATAAAGCTTCTACAATTTATATATATATATTTGTTAAACAGGTAAAAATAATTAGTTATATAAAAAAAATTATTTATAATTAAAAATTAAAATTTTTTGACGAAATTTCTGTCAGAAACTGTTTTCAAAACTTTTCGACGGAAACTTCTGTCAGAAATGCACTGCAGAAATTTCTGACAGAATTTTCGTCAGAAATGTACTCTAGAAATTTCCGACAGAATTTTTGTCGGAAACGTACTCCAGAAATTTCCGACGGAAATTCTGTCAGAAATTTCTGGAGTACGTTTTCGACGGAAATTCCGTCGGAAATTTTTGGAGTACATTTTCGACGAAAATTGGTATTCTCGACGGATTTTTTTTTTCCGACAACACTTTTTCCGACGGATTTAAATCCGTCAGAAATACCAAATTCCGTCAGAAATTTACTTGTTTCTGTCGAAAATTTCCGTCGAAAATTGACATTTTTCTTGTAGTGTATACTTGTAACTCTTGTCAAATTTATTTATAAGGGTTGAACTTGGAGAGACAAGTGCAAAAGAATACTTAGTAGTTGAGCCTGTAGAGGCTTGTTGAAAGAATACTTGGATTTTAGCTAGGAGTGGCTTGTAAAGAATATTTGGGTTTAGCCAGGAGTGGCTTGTAAAGAATACTTGGTGTTTAGTCAGAAGTGGCTTATAAAGACTACTTGTATCTTATTGAAGATAGTGGAACTCAATCCGGTTGGATTGAGAACTGGACGTAGTCTCTAGGTTGGAGACGAACCAATATAAAAACACTTGTGTCATTTCGTTTGCTTTTGAGTGCTTCGTTTGATCACCCTTCACTACTTCATCCATTTTCATTTTTACTACTTTACTGTGAAAAGAGCTAGTTTTTAATATACATTATTCAACCCTTTTCTAGTATGTATCTTCTTTTCCAACATTTTAAAAACAAACATTTATATAAACTAAAGTAATATAAGATATATGTGAATATAAAGTTATTTTAATATATTCATAATTACGTTAAAATATTTTTGAAATATTTATATACATATTTATCAATATATACTTATATAATATCTAAATCTAAATGATAAATACATTATATATTACAAATTAAAAGGTTAACACTTGTATAGGCATAAAATTATTATACTATTTTATTACAAATTATAATTATATAAAATAAATATTATTTTGTCTATTATATAGATTAAAATACTAATTGTCTTATAAGCGTTATACAATTGGTTAAGTCTCTTTGCTTTATTAGTTAGGACTTGAGATCGAATCCAACTTCTTTTATATCATGTGAATTTGTGTTGGGAATGAGGTGGACGATTCTTAATCTCACTTAGAGATGACAAAGTGTACTCAAACCCTATGCATATATGCAAAAATATCTACAAGTGGGATATAAATCTGAGTACTATAGTATCCACCCCATTCCACCCTGTCCAGCCCCATCCCCCACCTATTATCTATTAATTTAATCAATTAAATAATGTATTTTAATATATATATATATATATATATATATATATATATATCAATAAAACTAATATATAATATATATATATATATATATATTAATACTACAAGTTTCTAATAGTATATAGAAATCCTAAATCTAATATCATTCCTTTCACTAGCCACAACTGTGTGATGCCTCTCTTTGTGTATATGAGTGCAACCATGTGAGTTTAAGCTTTACCAACACCATTTGCAAAAATAAATTGACAAAAATGTAGATTTGAGAAATAAATGTTTGCAAAAATACGAAAATGATAATTTTGGTGATGATGTGAAATATCTTATATATTTGTATTTTTTTTAATTTATAATTATAAATTATAAATTAATAAATTTCAATTTTTTTAGGTATTGGAGAGTATTGTTACCACATGACGTCTAAGTTTAATCAAAGTTTTTGTTAAAGATCGAAACAATCTATTATTTTGAATGATTATCTTTGTAATATTTATTCATACTTGAGCTTTAACAAATCAATTTCATATTTGTTTGTTTTTAATATTATGTGTATTTGTTTTTTTTAGACTTTGTTTGGGTTATATAAAAACGAATTTTAAATATTATTGTAGTAGTTGTTTTAATTATTTTTTTATTAATTTATTATTATTATTAACCTCATATATAAGTAAAGTGCGAGTTATAAATACAAATATAAGTGTCTAGAATAGTAGGTACAAAGATAAAGATCAAAATTGTTACCCTCATAGATGTAGGGCTGAGTACATATATAATTTTTAAACGCATATATGAGGATGAGTACCATAAAATCCTATCAAGAACCTATTCATTATCATTTCTCTCATTGCAAATCCTCGAAAAAGTTAATGGTTGACTTCAATCTCATATGAGTCATGTCTAAATTTAATTTAAACTTTTTATAAAAAGAAATTAGAATACTAATTAAGAATATTTATAAATATTGTGTATTTATAAAAATAATATATTTATAAAAATAAATAAATATTGTATTATAACACTATCTTTATTCTTAATTATAAATAATAATTTTTTTAATTTTAATTATAATTAATAATCATTAGTTTATGAAGTTACATAAGTTAAATTTCTCTTATATTTTGTTCATTATTAACTTTATTTTCCATACATTATAATTATAACTGATATTAAATATAATAATATTCAAAATAAAAAATATATTTAAAATAAAATTTAAATTTATGATAGAATTAATTAAAAATAATAAATATATCTAAGATAGGAAGTATTTGTGATTGAATCGGTGGAAAATGTTAATTGTTATGACCCACAAATTTTTCTCGAAATGCGGCATGATATAAATATCAAAACGACATGTTTTTATTTTGGAACATTTAAAAAAGAAAAGAACGAGGAGGGAAGAGGAGACGAGGCTCTAGTGAAACACGACGAACGAGACTTACTCCTGGGCTTCGCTGTTGTTGGCGCAACGACAAACACCTCCGCTACACTCGCACGCGTCTTAGCATTAGCAGGTTCACATCTTCCCTAATTTGGTTTCTCTCTAAATTTTAAACTTGTAGCTGTGTGTTGTTTGTGCCATGATGATTCTGATTTTACCCTATTACTCCTTTTTTATTTATTTATTTTTTTTTATGTGGCAAATCAAATTTGTATTGCGTCATTTCGAAAACATTAATCAATGATTCAATGTTTTCAGTCACCATTCTTTGGGTTGAGAATTGGCTTAACAATTGGAACTGGTTTTGGTATAGGCTCAATTACTGGAATGTCTAGAGGCTTTTTCACCGTTGGAAATGGCTTCGGCACTGGGATAGGAATTGGCTTAACAATTGGAACAGGCTTAATTACTGAAATAGGTTGAGGCATTTTTAATATTGCCTTAACACTTGAAATTGGCTTTGGTATAGGCTTCTGTTAGGAAAAATTCAAGTGTTGCCTACAGATTATTAAAAAGAGTCACCCATCATTTATCCACTTGCTAGGGATGTCCACAAAACTATTTAAAACTAAACTTTTTAAATAACTAAACTAAACTAAAATAAACTAAATTATTTTTTAATAGTTTAAACCAAACTATTATTTTTAGTGTAGTTTATAAAGCTAAACTATTAAAATTAATAATTCAGTTCACTAAAACTAAATTCAAGCACTGAATCCAAACACATTTACGGAAACTAAATCCAAACACATTCACGGAGAGTTACCAGACTACAACGTTCGCCGATCGGACTCGCGGAGACGTAGGTGGGTCTTCCAATTTTGCTTCAATCTTCACTTCTCAAGGATGGTTCTTCACTTCTTCTGATTCTTCTTCACTTCTTTCGATTCTTCTTCATTCTTCTTCATTCTTCACCCTTGATTGTGTGACAAACTCGCAGGTGGGTCTTCGGATTCCTCTTCACTTTTCACTTTTACTGGGTTATTTGATTTTGACTGAACTATTGGGTGTTTCTGTTCAATTTGGGTTTGAGCTGCATAAGTAAAGAAATATTTTTGTTGCTTGCACTCCATGTGTTTGATAATTTGTAGGCAATTTGCTAGACTTCAATTCCCTGCATTATGAGTGATCCAATGGTCTAGTTTAGAAGTAAAGGGTCACATTCATAGACTAGCATCAAACACATTCATAGAAATGAATTGCGTCATGAACGGTATGCTATCCATGTTAACCCGGAGAAAAGCTGCAGGCGAAGGGCTTGCACATGGTACAGTTCATTCTTCTCTCATTAGCTTTCCTGTGTGCTCTAGATTCTTATTCTTTCATTTCTGCCTTTTGGGTTGTGTTAGAAATTGTAAATGTTTGAAGCAATTCTCAATAGTTGTAGACAGATGGTTTCTCTAATGCAACATCAGGGAAAGAAATTGTTTTGCTCACTGATGAATATGTATAATGTTGAGACAGTATCTACTAGACAAGGTTACATTTACACTGGAATATGTTGCAGCTAATGGTTGATGGAAAATTGAGGGTATAGATAAGGCCAACGTTGCTTATGGTCATCCTAGATTGCTTTGTAGAACTTGATGCTGTGTTTAACTTTGATTAAATTTGTGAAAGTTTAAATCACAATATATTAAGAATCAGGTCTTTCTACTAGGCAACTTTGTCTAACCAGATTGAGTTAGTGCAGTAGTATAAAGGGGGGAGGTGTTGGGGAGTTTAAGTTATTTTGTTGGGTCTAGAGAGTGTATTAATGATTTGAGGGAGGGATAGTTGTGATACTTCAAGAGGTTCCCATCAACTAAACAAATACAGTTAAACCTTCATTGAGCCTTTTAATAGTAGAGAAACTTGTGGTTACTGGTTGTATTGTATGTGAAATTAAATTAGCAATATTTGGAAATTTAAGTGAACCATACTCAAGTATGGAGCTTTAGGCTGTTTAAGGTGCATTTTTTAGGGGTGATTGTGTAGTAGCAGGGTTAATAATAAAGTGAAAAACAGGCATTATCTACTCTGTTTTTGGACAAGTATGATGTAGAGTATGAAAAAATTTAGCTGAAAAAATTTAGCGGTAGAAAAATATTTGTTGTTTATAAAAAAAATTAATTTCAGGTTTACAAAATTTGAATTTAACGTAACATTGAATTAAATTAAAAATAAAATTTATTAAATTCATTTATTTAATAAAGTAAATAAATTTTATCAAATGTTTGATGAATTAAATTCAAATCCTTTACTTTAATTCAATCACATTTACACCCTGGCCTCACTAATTAATAATTATACAGTAGTAGTTAGCAGATTGATTGAAATTGGGAGATGCATTTTTGTTTTTTGCTTTTTTGAGAAAGGAAACTGAGAGATACATTAGAAAATGAAGTAAAATCATTGTTGCACGTTATCTTTGCTGGGTCCAAATATCATATCTCAGTAGGATTTGCTTCTTATATTTTTTTTTGGATGTTATTTTTTAATCAATATTAATATAATGTGCCCCCATAGAATACTGCCTGCCATCATATATTGGAGAGAAATGATGAAGAAAAAATTAATTATTTGATTTGTGTTTGGAAGTTATAACACAAAAAAGTACCAGACACGTTTGCATGAAGGTGGATAGCACATGAATATTAACCCATAAACTCGTTTGTATTAGGTATCACATCGATCAGAGATAAGGTAATTAAAGAATATATAGGTGGGAGACAATCCCCGACATTATAGGATTTAGTTAGGGCCAAACTCACTATTCTAAGATAGTATTAGAGCTATCTAAATCCACTTTAAAAAGAGTCACCTACCATTGATATACGCACCAAGCCTAATAGTGTTGGGTGTGAGGGAGTGTATTGGAAAAAATTTAAGTCTTAAATAAGAGATAAAATAATTAAAAGAGTATCTAAGTGAGAGGCAACCCTCACCTTACAAGCCGGTTTTATAAGATGAGTCACCTACCATTAATATACACACCAAGCCTAATAGTGTTGGGTGTGAGGGAGTGTATTGGAAAAAATTTAAGTCCTACATCGATTAGAGATAAAACAATTAAAGAATATATAAGTGAGAGACAACCCTCACCTTACAAACCGATTTTATAAAGTTGAGTTAAACCCATAACTAACATTCTAAGAGCTTCTTAATCACTGGAGTAGGTATAGGTTTTTTGGCCACTGGATATGGCTTTAGAATTTGCTACTTCACCTTGATTATCTGTGCCGGTTAGCCTTTTATCAGAAGGCTTGCCACTTACGTTCACCTCAATTCCTGCACATAAACATTGATTATTGAATATCATATTGTACAGTGTTGTGGCTCAAGCTGAGAATGGATGTAAATCATGTAATGTTGCTACAGCTATGAAGCTATGGTACTTATTTTGTACAACAAAAAATGGAAAATTAACTATAGACAAGTGGGCTCAGAGCACCAACCTGTAGAGGCTTCATTAGCAGTTACAGCAACAAAATTGGAAAAATAGAAACATAGAAGAAGCAAACGGGGCACCCTGTAGTGCAACACAAGCACCCTTTGAAAAGTGGAACTCTTCCTCATTGTGAAAACACCTAGGCCACACCACTCACCAAGGTATAGTAATGAAAGTTGAAAAGAAAAATATCTAGATTAAGGCTTGAGTTGCTCTAGCCTCATAGGATTTGTGTATATAATGGTTTGGCTAGCTTAGGATTGGCGTAATTTTAGTGGCTCAGGCGCTATAACTTCTACTACTTAATTATATGAGGTTGTTGGTTAATTTAGTGATCGTTACAATTAGTTGGGAATGTGCATGTTATTTTAGAGATCAATGGCTATTGCCATTGGATGTTTTGTTGAGATGGGATCACTTTCACTAATCAAAGTGTGTTTGGATGGTGAATTTAAAAGGAGTAATTCTTTTTTTTCAAAGAATTTCAAATTTCTTGAGATGAAATGTTTTGTTTGAATGGATAATTTATAAAGAATTTGAAATTCAAGCATTTATAAAATTTCTTAAAATAGTATAATTTCAAATTCTAAAAAAAAAAAGTAAAAATTTGAAATTCTTCATATTTTTTCTTTCTTATCTCCCCTATATATATTTTATCTCTCTCTCCTATCTCTTAATTATTGAATATTCAAAAATATTTTTTAAATAATTAAATATTATGTAATATTGATTTTTAAAACAATTAAATATTTAAAATTAACTAATATTTATTTTTATAAAATTAAATCTTAAAATCTTATTATATATATATATATATTTAAAATCAATGTTACTCATGATAAAAATCAAATTATCATATTTAAACTAAAAATTTAAAATTTAAGAAATTTGAATTGATTTATCCAAACAAAATATTTCAAAAATGATGGAAATTAAAGTCAAAGTAATTTAAATTTCTTAAATTTTTCATCCAAACACACCATCAAAGCATTTAAATTTCTTCAAAAAAAAAAATGAATTACTCCATTTAAATTATCCACACACTCTATATGAACTTCCCTACTTGAGCTAGTTTATTTTGGTAATTATTATTACTGGGACAGTAAATTGAATCTCTAATTCTCTATCAATATGGCTGATTATTTTTATTTTGTTGGGGTTAATATAGATGATTGTGATGCTGTTATGACACACACAAGAACCTCAACTCATTCTTTTTTACATTACATCTCAGTTACCTTTCTGTCACTGAAAAATAGAGATGCTTAACAGAAGAACCTACACGCTAGAGATGACAAATTTAGCCTTTTTTCTTCCTGCTGCAAACAAAAGTGTTTCTTCTCTACACATTTTATCTTCTCTTTTTTGTGTTGTGTTATTTTTATTTTTATTTTTTTTTCTGTATTAGTGTGCACATAGGAATGATAAATCATAGTTAGCACTCGAGTGTGATATAGTTTTAGTACAGTTAAATTACATTCTATGTTGTCTTAGATAACTTAGAATTTACATGAGAAATATCAATGGGATTACTTTTAGCAAAGAGGCTATTTCCCACAAAGTGAGCAATTATGGTTTGAATTTAAATTGAAAAAGGTACACCATATGATGTCTCACTATATTTTAAGTAAAATTACCTCTTATTAAGATACATATTAGAAATCATAAAACAAGATACTTAAAAAATCAAAATTAACAGCGTTGAGCTAGTTACCACATTTCATTTTAATGTTTTTTAATATAATTTTCTATTATAGTTATATTAAGGTCATTATGATTTTTCTAAAGTGATTTTAATAGTAGTACCTTAGTAAAAAAAATTAAAGCAATTAAAAGGATATTGAACTACTAGGGTCGGCCTAATGATAGAGAATTGAGGTAGTACGCACATGACTGAATGTTTGAATCCAGATGATGTCATTGTAATTTTGATAAATAAAAAAGAGAACACTACTAAAAAAAATTAGAGATGTAAGTCAATAGGACTAGACTAATATAATGATTTGAGTAATGTTTTTTTTTAATGTTTTTTTTTATGATATGTAAACTATCTCTATCTGCCCTCTGCATTAAATTTATAATTTTACTAAATTTATTATTTAAAAGCTTAGAACTATTTAAATTTATTATTATTATCATAACATCTTAAGTTTTGACTCTAGCTAAGAGAATAATATACCTATATAACCATGCTGTTTTGAAAAAGAATATATTTATATACGTATTAGCTTATAGCTCTGTTTTCAATTATTTTCTTTATTTATTTAACTGAATTTCCAAAATTCTAAAATAATTATATAATGTTTTAAAATATTAAAATTTGTTATTTTAATCTAATAATCAGTACCACCTAATTTAGTTATTCATTCTCTTGCTCTATATATATGTTTTATTTAAGAATAAAAATGGTTTTTATTAAAATAACTTTCCTCAAATAAGTATTTAATTAAGTTATTTAAAATTATGTTTCTGTAAGAGTTTCGAAACGATGTATATAGCTAAATAACTTTTACTAATTATTATATTGTTTCATAACTTTATATTAGATGTGAGTTTTGTTGATCCAACTGTTGAATTGTAACTTCATATCACCTTTTATGTTTGTGAAATTTGATTAAAAATTGAACAACAATTCAAGGGTAATTAAATTATTCATATTTTTATATATTTTGAAATGTATATATTATATTTAAAATTATATTTTTATAACATCATATCACCTTTTATGTTTGTCAATTTTGATCTATATGAATGAAGTATCAAATCATCTTAGTTTAATATAAAATTTTGCATATATGATATAGGAGTAAGGAACTTTCAATCTAATGATAAATTTTAAAAAATAATTATTTAATTGAAAGTTATGAGTGGTGTAATAATTGATTCTAGCTCATTGATGGTTAACATAATTAATGGAATGATTTTCTTGATTCTTAAGTCTAGTTTCCTCTTGAACTAACATACTATGCAATTCATGCACATTCCATTTATCTTTCATGGTATTATAGTTCATTTGGAAAGGGCCATACTTAGACGGTAATGAATTCAATATGAATTGCACAAGGAAATTTTCATCCACATTCATTCCTAATAACTTAAGTTTTGCTGCAATGTTTATCATTTCGGTAACATGTTCATGCATAATACAAGAACCATCAAATTTCATGATTGTTAAAGTACTCATCAATGTCCCGGCAAGAGACTTATCAGCAGTTTGGGAGCTCTCTTCCACAAACTTCATCATTTCTTCTACACTTCTAGTTTTAGGAAGAGCGGACTTAATGTTATCAGCAATACTCATCCGCATATACATTAGACTCAATCTGTTTGACTTTTCCCAATTTTTAAAATGAACTTTCTCTTCCTCAGTGCTTGAATCAGTAATAGCACTTGGTTTCTCTTCACGAAGAGCCAAATCTAAATCCATTACCC